TCGCTTACCAAACAGCTGGGCTCTAAATTAAATGCTGTTTATTAATAACATAATTTTGGTCTAACTCTTAATGAAATGTCCATTAAAAACATTATAGCACTAAATGCCAAACTCCAGTCTGTTACACCAGTGGAAATCTAAAGTAACTCCATTGACTTCAGCCTCTTGGTTTATGCTGCTATTTCCCAGCAAACAGAGCGCACCCTCAAATTATCATTAGAAAACAGTAAAAGTTCAGAAAAGCTCACTGCAGTCAAGCTGCATCAGGATTTAATTATCATTCTCTATTTTCATATGCTTGCAACTCTGAAGCTGAAATTTTTCATGCTCCACCTCAGATGGTGACATTTTTGGGAAAGCCAATGAGAAAGTCTCATCATCAGTTTCCATGCTAAGCAATCACACACACCAAAAAAACCCAGAAGCCGAAGTCCCCTGGAGCCTCTGGTTGTGAAGGACTCTCCTTCAAGCTCTCTGCCATTTTCTGTGGGCTATCAGCAGGCACAGGGAGGGGCAAAAAGTTTTCCCTCTGCAGAACTGTAATTTCTGTCAGTTCCCTTGCTTTTGCACCTCGTGATGCTCCTGAAGCCTAGGAGCTCTGACTTCTTCCTCTTCCCTAACCTCCCCTTTGAAAACAAAATCATTGACACAGTGACAATGGATTAATTGTGTTGCTGCAGGAACAGCTCTCAGGCATCAGAAATTAGGAAGTGAGAGAACCGAAGCTGTTCATTCAATTTTAATTAAGTCCCAGTGTAAAATATATTACAATAGTCTTTACTCTTCCTTAACACAGCCTTGGGCTAACTCTTACACAATCTAGTCGACGCATTTTTTCCAACGATACATTTTACAGATGAGGCTGATATTACTACCTACTGCTAAGACTGCCTGATACTTCTCTGAGACCCTGTTTTCAGTTGCTTCTCTCTCTCTCAAGCTTTAACATGTGGGATGAAATTTTCCAGTCCTGGGCCCTGATTCCAACCCAAAAGTCACGGGGAAAGTATCTACCAAGTATTTCTCCCATTTCCAAATAGCTGGCTAATGAAAAACACACTACTTTGCCCAGGTTAAAAATTCTGGCCATCTTTGGTTGGGCTAAGACTCCAAAGCTTGCAAGAGGCAGACTTTGAGTTAAGGCCACCTCTGACACAACAATGGAAATATCTTGAAAAAATAACAGTACCTCTAACTTCTGTAAAGACTTAGTTTTTTTAGCAATTAAGTTATCCAGAAGCCCCTTTTGTCATGATTGCGCTCTGACTTGGGGGCCAAGCGAGACTCTAAGCGGTCTGCGCTGCTATGGGCTGAGACCACGAGCAAAGGGAAGAAAGCTTGTCTCTACACAAGACTGCCAACAGACTCTTGAAGAGGATGTGACCAGTAAAATGTTGAGAGTTCTTTTTTATTTGGGAAAAGTGATTTTTTTTTTTTCCCAAAGGCATATAAGCTCAGCCAAATTTGGGAAGATTTTCACCAGGATGGCAAAAAGCACATTTCTGATAAAACCCCGTCTCCTAAATTTCAAAGAAAAGGCATGAAGAAGTTTTCTGTGCAAAAAACATCATCTTTTTTTCTTCTAACCGCTTAAGAACTACTAAGCTGTTTTGGCAAGTATTTTTTTGCAAACTGAAACAATCAGGATAGAAAAATTCAGCGTGAGAGATAAAGTCTGTCCAATCTGCAAGATGCTGCAAAAGAGCCTTACATTAAGAAGTGTTGGGATACCTGAGAGAGCTTCAAGCATCTCCTATAATAAAGAACATGAGCTTTAAGTGTGTATCAACAAATATCAAATGAAGAGAATCCAGAAAAACTCCCAAGAGCGCCAAAAAAGCCACGTATTCCCCCTCAAACGTGGTCGCAATATGTTGTGTGTAATATGGTCACAACATGCTGTGAAAGCCAATTAACTTTGGCTCTACCAGACCAAGGAGAGAGAAAATCCCACCAGAAAGACACCCTACTGTGACTTTTCTTCTGCCCCCGCAAGCCTTCACAAACAGCCCCAGCACGCAAACCGAGCACGGGAAGGGTCAGCTGGGATCTCCGTTCACGCAGGGAAGCAGCAAGGCACCCGCCAGCAACCAGAAAGAAGCACAGGGAGAGGTGCAGGAGGAAAACCCATGGGTGTAATCCCCCCCACGGGTGTAATCCCCGCCGTGAGCAGCAGCGCAGGAACAAAGCGATGGGTTCTGCTGAGGGTACCTGTTCTAGGTCTGGGGTTTGGTGGTACCAGAGCACCACTTGCTTCCGTCCTCAAAAAGGGCTTCCAAAGGACTACCCAGGGATTTCTGCGGGCAGTGATGAGCTCCGTTCTGCTTCACAGCAGCAGAAGCAGGCGCCGACACTGCAGGCTCCACCTAAACTTTCCAATTACTCCCTTCTCCTGCACTCTGCAAGCCTCCCTGTCCCTCCTCTGCCACCGTAAGGGCTATTTGTGTTCCCTTTCTCACCATATGCTGTCATTCCCTCGCTGCTGTCATTATCCTTGTCCTGCTGACTACCAAGCCGGTCGATCAGGCTGTAATTGCTCTAGCTGTAGCACAAGGGGCTCACCGACTATGACGGTTACAGATACTCCTCTCATCCCCATCTCCCCCTGTGCTCCTGCCCTGTGCCACTGTGCACAGCTCCCTCAGCTGCTCGTGAGGCTGTTCTTGGAAATCCACCCGTGAACTGATCTGGCTTAGAAACCAGGCAAGCCCCCCTGACCCACCAACTCCAAAACAGTAACAAGTGGTCCTTCCCCCCTTCTTTAAGCTGGATCAGTTCCAGGATGGGGTTTGAAACACAAGGGTATGAACAGTTCGTGGGCATACATCAGCAAAAACTACCATGAAAATAAGCAGCAGCTGAACATCAATGACATCACCCATTGTCATGTAACCAGGAAAATCACAGCAGAGGGGCACCAGTCTTTCAGACACTCCATGAAGTTATACAAGAAGCTCTTGGTGGCTAGCAGCAACTGTTTTCCTTATTCTGTGGATATTCACAACCTTGGCTGAAGACAGCACCTTTGCTAACAAGTTGTTAAGTCGCCTAAACCCTTGTCGCCTTCTGCACGGTTTTCTAATGTGCCTCTCATGTCTGCCCTCTTGTCTTAAGAGTCCTCCTGGACATTTGCTGGATGCACCATCCAAAACTTAGCATGTTACATCCAATTGGATAGACATCCAAGGAGAAAATTTCATTCAGGCAATAACTGCCAATATCAGTACCAAAAACGGGTAATTCTTGTCATCCACATAAATTAAGTACACTTAATGGATTTGCCCGGTCTAGATGTACAAATGAGCTTTGTGCACTACTTGCACCAGGCCCTGCAGTCTCAATTGTTATACCAGATTCTTCTTGCATGCTCTTGCTGCTTACTGTAATGTATCACCACGCTGCTTCTCCATACTTAGAAAACAGACACAAAAGAGCAATTGCCTGTGTAAGATTTCCATTTACACTGGAATAAATGCATGTTAAATTTCTGCAGCTACTTGATGGAACAGGTTGCCCAGAGAGGTGGTAGATGCTCCATCCCTGGAAACATTAGGGGTCAGGTTGGACTGGGCTGTGAGCAACCTGATCTAGTTGAAGATGTCCCTACTTGTTGCAGGGGGGTTGGACCAGATGACCTTTAAAGGTCCCTTCCAACCCAAACCATTCTGTGATTCTATGATTTACATTGTAAGCATTCGGAATTGGAAATTTTCCCTTTTCTGTGCAAAACCCAGTTCCCATCAAAAGAAATGGGAAGCCACAGAACTGCACTTCAAAATTAGGCTCAATCTGCCTGCAAGGAAAAAAGAAATAGTGAAATTCTTCTTGTTAAGATTAAGAATTTCTGCTTGAAATTCTCTTTTTATTAAACTGGACTACTCGTTTTTAACCAAAATGTAGAACATTTGCTGGAAAAAGCAGTCCTTCTTTTGACACCGTTATCACAGATCTAATAATTGCACACTGTATTTACCCTGCGAAGTAAAAGCAGTAAGAGGATTTATAGTTAGCACATGTTAAGGACAACGCATCGGAAACTGATACTTCTATGGTAAAAACCCAGCAGCAGCCTTCATTTCAGAATGCTTCGCTCATTTCCTTTCCTTCTAAGTGGATTTCATCACAGCAAAAGAGGTCAGCTTCGCAAGAGACTAAACTCCTCTTCATCCACAGACTGAGTGGTTTGGATTTGCAGGAGCATAACTCTCCCTGCAGCGTCCCACCGACACGGGTGCGCAGCCCGAGAGGCACCACCGCCTGGGGAAGGCACATGGGGTGCTCCTCTCAGTCCTCCCAGCTTTCAGCTGAGACTGCCAAGCACAGTCGTCCTGTTTGGGTTTTTCTGATGTCCCCCTGCAGACCAGCAAACTCCCTTTTGAGTGAGCTTGAGCACCACTGAACTGCCATCAGGTTCACCTCTCCTACTGATGATGGGACCTTCTGACAAGCCGAAGAAAAGCCCTTCATGGGGTGAGCTTAGTGAAGTTACAGACACGCAGGCAGCCTGGGCTGCACCTGCCTCACACTGTGCCCGTGCCGGAGGGATTAGCTCATTAATTCACTTCCTTCAAGTCAAGGATTTCTTGACAATACCTCAATCAGGGCCAGAAGAGCAGTTCCAAGGCTGCAGGGCCGGTGCACAAACTGGTTTACCTGATGCCCCAGCGGACGCTGCCTGCCTGCTCGCCCCATCGCCCCGGGCAGTAGCCGAGGGGGCTCCCCCCTAGAGCAAGCCTGACCATCAGCCAGGGTGGGCAGAGCAGGCTCTCCCCAACAACCTGCTGACAAAGCACAAATGAAAATAGATCTGAGGAGGCCAAGGAGTTTTGGACATCCAAAGCACTGCAACCAAGGTGCCAGGTGCACACCTGCAACCTGCTTGCTCCAGGAGGTCCCCCTCCTTCACGCCACTGGGCTTTCAGGATCAGGCCCGGCTTGATGGCCCGGTTCTCCACCACGCTCTCAGAAGCAAAAGGAGAAGAGGAATGTGGGACACTCACCACATCTGTGTTTGTGATCTTGGCCAGGAGGTCCGTGAGGCTGTCCCCGTCATCGAGCTGAAGGCCACAGATGGCTGCTCCCACACTTCCAGTTGCTATCATTGACGGTGGGTACATGGCAAAGTTAAAATCTGCAAGAACAGATCTGGGAATTAGTCCAAGCCCAGACCAGAAAAGCTGCAAAACATCAGAGGCAAGCAACATAAAAAAACCACACCCAAGAATAAAAAACGGGGAAGTAGAAGAAAGGGAAAAGTGCCACTCTTTTTGGTTCAGAGGAGCTCATTAGTCACACTGCTCATCACAAGCAGTCAAAGGAAGGGTAACAGATCTGCAAATTAAAATGGAAATGCAGCTCGGTCTTTTATCCTCACTGATGCATAAAGTAAACCTGGACAATTTTTAATAGTCTTTCTTTAGTTTTAAAGAAAAGGAAAGAGAAGAAGTAGGCTTTCTGTAATTTACGTCAGAAATTTGGGTCTCGGTCACATTAGAGCTCTCTGTATAACCAGAAAACTAACTGGTATAAGGCATCACAAAGGACCAAACTGAGATTTTTAGTCATGTCAGTTTTTAAAGACGTAATTAACTCAACCATTTAAAGACCTGTCCAGGAAAGAGATTTTAATTAACGATTCATCTTTACCACCTTTGCAATTAGGAAGTGAGAACACTTACAGCCCATAGCTACGTAATCAAAAGAAAAAACAAAGATCACATTTGTCATTACTACTATTTCTTAATAAACAAGTTGAAAATACATTTCAAAACTTCCTCTCACACATCTGTGGAGATCCAGAGAGAAATGAAAATAAAGCTAAATGTTCTTGTGACCTTTATAAGGCAATTTTACGGTTTATGATACTGCCACAGGCACTGGTTTATCAGTATGCCTTACTAAATACCATTTCCAAGAGATCTTCCAGGTTACTGATAATCTTCCTAAAAGGAAACTTGGTTTGCAAGTTCTTTGGTTCAACAATAACTCACTGACAAACCATTCTCTACCAGTTTTCAGTTGAGGAGGACTGGAGGAGAAGGAAGAGGAAACCCAAGTAATACTTAATGTGAAATAAACCACAATCAATATATTCAGTCTATTTATGGAAATAGATTGTTACAGAAAACGACCCTTCTGTTAAGGGCAGATCCCAAGTGCTGTATGTTCAGCTAGCACAAATTCTGTAACCCTGCTGATATCTGTGTAACTGCTCAAGTTTTAGACACATCGAGAGTTGTTCTCGGCCTCCCAGACTTTGAGCTGGCAGACACTGCAATCGCTGTGGAGACGGCATGCTCTTCTCCGGGCTGGAATATGTCCCTGGGACCCAGGAGGAACGAAGCAGTCAGGTAAGAATGCGACTGAGGTCAGTAACGCTCATCCAGATGGACCGGAGGGAGTGTTAGAAGTGGGGAGAGAAGAGGAGGAGCTGAAACCCTGACGTGGATTTATCTGTCTCACAAAGCCACCCGAAGGTGACCGCCTGCAAGCCCACCACTGCACACTGCTGAAGCCCACTGTCCTTCCTACCAGGGCAGCCCAGCAGACATCACACCCTGACAAACACTTCTGAAGGAGCAAATTCCCGCTGACTGAAGCAATGAATACGGACTGCCCTTTTTATAAAAATAATAATTACGCACTGTTGCAATAGTAAGAACCCACTGTACACAGGAAAGCTGATCATCTTGGAAATTAAGTTATATTGCCCCCACTAATGAGTCAGTCAACAGGTGAGCCTCGACTCCTACTTATCAGCGCAGGACACAGCCCTGAGGATGCTGATCTCAGCATGTGTTGAGGTGCCAGGAATTGCGCTTTCATGATCAAAATCACTTTCACATTTACTTCATGTGGACTTACACACACATGCGTGAGGGCCAGCCCCATCCAGCCTGTAAATGGATGACCAGGAAAATACATAAGGTTACCTGACACATAGCACATGCACTCCCCACAGAGCCCACCCTATTCCCAGTGCCTCAGCCTGTGGTTACACTTATCACTGGGCCAGACCTCGAGAGCAAGCCATAGATACAGTGGGATTTTCAGCCCTCGAAACGGCCCCTGTTTTATGCCGTTTTGCCTCTCTTCTTACTCACTGCTACTGATGGGAGGCCCCAGGACGCAGGTCTGGGTGAATGCTGCGGTGGCTCATGCCTGTGGGTTGATCTGGTAGCTAGCGGCTCCAGGGAAGAAATGTGATCGCTGGACCACCAGTTTGCAAAGTCCA